TCCACTGACGGGAAGTGCGAGGAAATAAATTACTGGCGTAGAAGTGGCGGTCTCATTTAACTATATTAACAGTAAAATGGTGGGACCGAGATGCCAGTCTAGTAACACGATTAAATTCCTGTAGTCGGGTAACCAGGGAAAACAGCTCGTCAGAGCAGTTGCCATGAAAATATTTGTAGAAACGACAGAGGGAAACCACATCACGTCTATGAGAAAGTGATTGAAGCCGAGATGCCAAATCAGGGCCGATTTCATTGCAGATCCTTCGGATTTTGTCGAGGACCTAAAGATGAACAGCAGGTATACAAGACGAATCTGTTACTAGAAGACAACGATCTTGCTTTTCATCTCGAGGTCATTGTACTGATGAGAGTGGGATATTTTCTGGTGATATAAGTATTTATAGTTGCGGTAAGAATGACCCTAAACAGAAAATCAATATCCCCTACCTAACGTTGCTAGGAATAGGACTCAACATAAACCTTTCCAAAATAGAAATTATGATCTGGAATTGGAATGAAAGCAGTGATGGAACCCACCCTGGTTCCATCAGAAAATATTACGGATTTGGATTTAGTAAATGCTAAAGGCTACAAATATTTCGGTATATAGATCAATTTTAACCAGTAAAAGCGACGAGGAAATTGAACATAGAAATGTTTGTCACAGAGATAGTTTCGCCCAATACCGCAAAGTGCTACGAAACCAAAGCATCAATCTGAAAACTCGTGTCTTGTTCTTAAATAGCCTCGTCAAATCGAGACATGGGTGTCATGCATGGCGTATACGGACTTTTTCTCAGATCAATGGTTGACAATGCCTTTGAATTCTACTGGGCTTCTTCAAACCTTGTGAACTGGCGTTACAAAATCACAAAGGACAGTACCAAATAACAGAAATTACATCACTTGCAGACTTTCAACAGAAGAAACAACAAAAATGATTTCGTTTGGTTTGTTTCGTTTTAAGGTATAATGCCGACCAGATTTTTATTGCTGGTAAAATTTTTAATTTTTCTAAAAGTTTTCTGGTAATATTTTTTTTTTCAAAAATGTACTGCTGGTAATATATTTTCTTAAAAAAATATACAGCTGATAATGTTTTACTGGTAATAATTCTTTTTAACAAAAATTCTATTGCTGGTATTAAAACCTATTTTTCACCCGTTTTGACCCTAGTTTAGGGGTTAACTATTTGCCCATATTTGGGACCCTAACAAAATACCTCTTTCCTCGTTATTTGCTCTAAATATTTCAAATGACCTTTTCTGATGCAAATTATGTCCTTTTTTGTTTCCATTTTCTCTTAAAATTCGTCATCTACTCGTGTGTTCTGTCCATGAGGTACTCAGCATCCTTCTATAGAGCCCCATTTCTATTGCTTCAAGTTTTTTCCTCATCTGAGATGAGATTATACAGCATTCATTGCCATCAGGACTCCGTCCTGGGTATGGCGATAAATTACATTCGCGTTTTGGTTTAGACGATAAACTACGTCCAACAGTTTGGGGGTTAAATATTTGCCCATAGGTGTGAGCCTAGCAGGTGCTACCACCCCGGTCAATTAAGAGGCGGTTCCACGCTACTTAAAACCTCCTGATCAGAGGCCTTGCTGTCGGCGGTATTTTATCGTCATACCCAGAAGGGAACTAAAATGGATATCACATGTAACTCAAGGTATTGACATACTTCAAATAAACGGTTAGGAAGGAAACCATCGTGATTACTGAAAAGAGCGACCGGATTTGAGAAAACGATGTTCCCCGAAAAATTGTTTTAAGCGAAAGATATAAATTTCAACTGACAGTAGCACTGGCTGCTCGGTCGATGAATGCAAAATGTTTGCTTATACGTATACATCAAGTAGCGAGTGAAAGAGAATAAGATTTTAGAAGAAACCGGATACCCAACCCGAAACTGAAAACAAGGCATAAACCTTTACTACTATTCAAAAGACTGGGGAGGAGTATGAACCGGACAATAGGCTAACCTATCTATTTCTATTATGTCGATGAAGCCTAAAGTGTTTAATAACATGTCTATTTTGAACATGATGAACAATTCTGGCGTTATTTCTTGCCACAGCAGAAAATAAGTTCTCACTATTTATATAAAAAAATTCTTACAAGCTCACAGATCGTATCAGGAACAAAAGAGATAGGGGGGGGTTAGCTAACCATCTACCTGGCGAGCATTTGTGGATGGACAGTAGAACAGGATAAAGAGAAGGGGCTTGGAAAAGAGAAAAATCACTGCTAAGGGCCACAAGAGTCAGGAAGCTGTGGAGGGACATGAACGCTCACGTTCTTGGGTGTCATGGCACACAGAAGAAGATTTCATGTGGATTTGTAGGTAGGGTAACAGATATCAGCGGGGAAAGTGGAGTCGAGGAGCCGAGTTCAATTTCCGGGACTGTCAGTATCGTTCACTTTGATAGCAATGAATTTGTCTCTTCTTTACCTACAGATATGGGTTAAATAGTAGGGTAGATTTGGGATCTCTAGTCTTTGGTGACATCTCAGAATAGGAAAACTAAACCGTAGAGAACAGAAGGGGAATCTTCACGATGATACCAATAATCCGCGGTGACTCACAGATAATAAAAGAAAAGAGATCTGTAGAGAGTTATGAACTTTACGATGGTTCCCAATAATCCGCGGTGACTCACAGATAATAATACAAAGATCTGTGGAGAGAGTTATGAACTTCTTAACGATAGGTCCCAATAATCCGCGGTGACTCACAGATAATAAAAGAAAAGAGATCTGTAGAGAGTTATGAACTTCTTTACGATGGTTCCCAATAATCCGCGGTGACTCACAGATAATAATACAAAGATCTGTGGATAGAGTTATGAACTTCTTTACGATGGTTCCCAATAATCCGCGGTGACTCACAGATAATAAAAGAAAAGAGATCTGTAGAGAGTTATGAACTTCTTTACGATGGTTCCCAATAATCCGCGGTGACTCACAGCTCATAAAACAAAGATCTGTAGAGAGTTAGGAACATCTTCACGGTGGTTTCCAATAATCCGTGGTGACTCACAGATAATAAAAGAAAAGAGATCTGTAGAGAGTTATGAACTTCTTTACGATGGTTCCCAATAATCCGCGGTGACTCACAGATAATAAAAGAAAAGAGATCTGTAGAGAGTTATGAACTTCTTTACGATGGTTCCCAATAATCCGCGGTGACTCACAGATAATAAAAGAAAAGAGATCTGTAGAGAGTTATGAACCTTTTCTATACTCACGGCTCTTCACAACTTCCTATCTCGTGTGGTTCTTAGCAGTTTTTCACATTTTGCTAATCCCCAACCACCGCCACCGTACCACCATTCATTCCTTCGTCAAGTAATTGGCTCAGTGCCTTCACTGACTTTTACCCTCAATAATGCCCATGAGAGTTTTCCAAATCCTTCCTAAAAGTGTCCAAAGAATTTCAGCCGTCTTTTCCTGATTTGGGGTATAAGCATTCGTGTTGCCATTTTCATCAAACCTTCCGAGCATAGAATCTTCAGTCCTGAAGTAACACGGATTTAAGATATAGCCATTATAGAAACCTAATATAGTCATTACAGAAATTTAAATATACCTTAAGAATTTTAACAGCATAGATTAGTTCTTCATCTTTATGTACCATGTCTACTCAGGACGTAGGCGATCATAGCTCTCCACAATTTCTTCTCCTTTGTCGACTCTTAATAAATTTTATCTTTTTCTTATTTCTCCAAACCCTGCTCCGCCATCCATTTACTCAAGCTCGTTAGGTAGGATATGTGTTGATTTCCTCTGTCTCTCCTGCCCTCAATTAGTTATGTGAGTATCAGATTTTCCAAGACTTCTTTTCTCATTATGTGCCCAAGAAATTTTAACTGCCACTTTCTGGTACTAAGTGTCCTTTTTTCGCCAAAACCTCGTCGTTGCTCACGTGTTCGATCAATGGTATCCTCAGCATCCTTCTGTAGAACCACATTTCCGTTGCTTCATGTCGCTTCTTCATCAATGCCAATTTTATTGTGAAAGTATTAAGTTGCGTGATAAAATACGTCAGCATTACACACACACACACGCACGAATATATACATATATATGTGTGCGTGCAGTTGGGGCATCTCGAGGTAGTGTAATGGTTAGCAAGCTTGAACGCTAGAACAGTTACGACTGAGTAGTGAGTTCAATCCTCATTGGGAGCCATTTACTTTCGGCCTTGTGCCACATCCAAGCTACGCTTGTAAAATCTCTCTCTCTCTCTATACATATATGTGTGTGTGTGTGTGTAGTAGAGAGAAAGAAGGTTCGCGTATGTGTGTAATGACTGGGGGGAGAGGTCGTTCGTGCGAGCGTTTGTAATCTTCTTTTTGAAATAGCTTTTTATTTCTCAATCCGTCAAAAATCTTTATCTATCGTCACACTGTTTTCTTTTCCTGTGTGCGTCTGTATGTGTTTGCGTGTGTGTGTGTGTGTGTGCTATTTTCTTTTTAATAATATATGGGGGCGGGGGGGAGGTAGCTTGTCCTTTCAACCTTCTAGTACATCGTT